TTTACATTTTAAATGTAAAATTACAACAAAATTTCAAGGGTTAATATATAACAGAAAATCTTGGATGATACTCATGAAATTATGGGGATAATATAAAAATAAGTAACGGTACGCAGATTTATCTCTAGACCAAACAATTAGCAAAACTTGATGTACTTAGAGCTAAGATTGTTAGACGATCTTACCCTTTATTTAGCATTATTTACTTAAAAAAAGGTCATACCCTTTTTATGAAAATAATTTTTAAAAAAAAACAGCTAGCCATAATTTCAAAATTCAAGTACGAATTTAATTAATACGAGTATTGAAGATATATGTTAAATTAAAATATGAAATGTATAGAATGCTTAAGAATTGAATACTTTTATATTTTTTCCCTTCATGAAAAATGATTTGTAATTTGATGGTGTTAGGCGGGGTTAAGGAAAAAAATTTAGGGGACGTTTGGTAGAAGAAAAATTTTTTTTACCAGGAAATTATAATTACTGGGAATATGGTGTAAAAGTGTATTTTCTACGAAAGTTAAAAAAAAAAATTGTTTGATAGGCCAAAATATTACAAGAAAAATTGGTTTAAATTTCTTGAGTCTTTATTTGGTTAAAGGTTAAATATTGCTGAAAAAATGGGATGAAATTATGAAAGCAACATTTGACTAAATAATATTGCACAATACACGAATAGAGTTAGAAGAGGGTCATTTTCGTCATCTACTTCGCGCTCATTTTTCCATTTTGTCGGTTATCTCAAATATCACCTTCGAAGTGGTATTCTTAAATAGTGTTTTTCATTACAATTTTCAAAGAAACGAAAAATAATGTCAAATCAGTTTACTGGATAAATTTTTTAAAAACTTGTACCAAACATGGATAACTTAGAATACCAATCTCATTTGCATGGGTATCTCAATATAAAACTCTCACCCCCTTAGTGTTCCCATCCAGGGGTGAAAGTGGATTGGGCTGGGCCGAGTTTGGCCCCGAAGAACCCAAGTGTATGCCAAAAAATTTTAAATTTGACCTGACCCGAGCCTAGTACGAGTCTAATTGTTAGCCGGCTCGTTTATAAAGAAACAAATGGCCTGCCTTAACTCGTTAGTATGTTAATTTTTTACTTCTAAGCAGAACCATGAATTAACTTCACAAAGTACTCAAATTTTGTTGCTAAAACAAAAATCACAATTTCTACGTCTAAACAGAACCATGAATCACAACAAAACTCATCACAATCTACATTTAAGTCATTTTCAAAAGCAAAATGCTCAAATTAAATAACATATATTTCATCATATCAAACAAACAAATATATATTATATAAATTAAAATAACTACATGAGTCCAACAAACACATCATGATGCTTGTAGTAGCCAAAAATTACTCTTCATCTTCTCTCCCCTACAAATACAATTCCAAGATTACATAAGTTGGCAAACAATTTGTAAATGTAGAAAACAAAAAACAAGACTAAAGAATAGAAATAAAAAGATTAAGAAATAAAAAATCTTTTAATAGATTCATATAGGCAATCTCATACGCTGAGATGTTGGTTCCTCCTACATAAAAAAAATTCAAATTTCTATTAAAATTTAATCGAATATAATTAAATTATAAAATAATTTCAATTGATTAAAAGGTAATATCTTTTTTTTTCTTCAAGTTATACCTATTACGTAGCCAATCTCCTTCGTATATTAAAGCTTGGATGGAATCTTCAACCAAGCTAGAACGATAGGCATCAATAACTCTTTCTCTAGTATTAAATGTTGATTCTGATAGTACTGTAGAGATTGATACAGATATTATGCTACTCTCAAAGATAGTATTGGTGAGGGAACGAACCTAAGTCTTTCCACCACCTACTTAGTTCACATGCACCAACTAAACTATCACCATTTGGTACTATTATGAATAATATTATTTTATTTAATTTAAAATAAATAATATGATATAGACCGGCCTGTAAGTTTATAGGCCCGACATATAAAAAAAAGCCTATCACTTGCTTTCTAAATAGGCTAGGCCTTTCTATTTGAATATATGTAATAGATTAAGTCTGACCTGATATAGGTTAGGCCGTAGGCCCTGTAGACCAGCCTGACCTATTTTCACCCCTATTCCCATCAATTATAAAAAAAGAACAAAAACAATGCTCGACTATCTTAAACTGATGAGAAAACAAAAAATGCTGGAATGACACCATACTAAATTCAATTTTAGTTGTCCGGGCATAACAGCCTTTGTGGATACAGTCATACAGACTCAAAAATCAAATAGTTTTCACATTCCCCACAAGTGAGAGCCACACTGGTGAATCGCTTTCAGGTAGAAGTGTGTAAGTTGTTATACTATTTTATAATGATCCCAAATCCCAGTCCCTTCAGTTCAATACTATATTCCAAATCTGAGTTGTCATTCTCTTGGAATTCTGGTTTGGATGTTTGTGGATTAGGCGATTCTATGACCGCTTAACTTGCTCTCCATAACTGTTCCAAACGTAGTTTAGTTTATTAACATAAAATTAATAGGCATATAATGGCAAAAGAGAGAAGCCAAAACCACGTGCCGGAGCAGGTGAGATAGCCACTAGCATTTGGAATTTGTGGAGCAAGCAACTTGCCAACTTCCAAATCCACCACCACAATTTTGAACCACTTTACCTGTATGTATGCATATCCTCTTTCGGTTTGTCTTAGTTTGAATTATGCATCATTTCATGTAATTTGTCATTTTCTGAAAGAGAATATGTTCTATCGATTCATTTGAGATGTAATTTCCATGATTTTGTAGTTCCAGCTTCCAAGTGAGGGCTTGATTTTGAACGGCAAGGAAATTAAACAATTGAATAAGATGGTAGTTTCATTTTTGTCCTTTTCCTTTTCAAAGGTAATTTTTATTTTATTTTTCCTAGTACATTATATTTTTAATGAATATTTATTTTGAACAAAAATCATCTTACTACATTTTACTCAACCTAACACTCTAAAAGGCTTAGGTCAAATAGCTATTCTTATTTATTTTTCCTTCAAGAGATAGTGTAGGAATTAATTTTGGGTGGGTGCATTTTGCTTTTTTCTTACTTGCAGACATATTTGTTTCAGCATATAACATGTGCAAACAAATAATATAGGTAATGCTTACCAATTGAGGGACACCCCAAAAACTACTTTCTTGACTGAATGGTCATTATTGAGTCAAGGTCCTAGTTATTTGCACGTGATTTGTTTTTTTCCAAGCAATTAGATGATGGAGAGGAATGTCCCAAATTGTTCTGGACTCTTCCGCAAATTTGCCAATCCTAGTTTGTATTGTTTACTCAGCCATAGCAATCAATGAGTTTCCAATTTGTTTTTGTTATTGTTTTATAGCTCTAGCAATCAATCGATTAGGCATTGATCAAACCAGTAAAACTGGTTTAGTCAAAAGGAAAATGAAGCACCCTTTATTGCACAATAGCTGCAATCAAACTATAATTGTTCTCTAATGATTATTCTATTTTCTTCACCCTTGACTAATCCAAGAACCACTTTATCATCTGCTTCTTAGATACAATGCAACCTACTACTTATACGGAATTGTATGCTCCAGGTTAGCCTAGAAAGAAGCTCGACTTTTGAAAGCAAAATTACAGATAGGGCTGGAATCATTTAATTTGTAGAGGAAACCCCATCTCTGAGCCTCAGGATAGGAGACTTTGCATGTTGAATATTGAGCATTTGTTGAACTAGGAGTGGTTGTCAAGAGCAAAATAGCGTGCAGACAAACTAAACAAATACATTGCCAATTTCCTCTGACTCTGCCATCAGAACAACTACTTTTTTAACCCAAAAAAAGATTGTAGCCCATCCCTTGAAGTCTGCATTCTGCAGACTGCAACTTTTGCTAAACTTGAGTAGATGATTTTGCGAGACACATTCTAATGGCTATGTAAACAGCTAAAACAAATTTTGAACAGTATTGTTTGCAAACATCTAGGGATATAGAAATAGCTACAACCATATAACTCCTTCTCAAGACTTGTTATATGTCAAAAAGTAATTGCCACAACTTAAAAGTTATGACCTACACTTAAAATTTCGCTCACCTCATTATCTGTCTAAACTAGCTCTTTTTATGTAATTGTAACCAAATACAACAAATTTCCCTTCCAAGTTTTTTTTCGGTCACAGTCATAGTTAATTATAAACAAAGGATAGGGATAGTTTTTTTAATAATATAATTATGCATTATTTTAAACTATACATTTAAACTGTAAATATTTAAAGTATTATTTATTTTCCTATATTGTGCATAAATAAAATTGCAATATTGGCAAGTTCCTTACTAAGATTGATGTTTTCTGCCTTCATCTTGTGAGGGTATTTGAAGCACTTTCTGAAATAGTTGGTAGCAGCAGCACAAGGTTTTGTCAACTGCTGTTTGGTATTGGATAATTTATTGCATGCCGATAGGATCAACTGTGGCATTACATCATCTACTCTATGATCTTTCGAAAACTCTGAATCCCAAATTAAAGAACTGGGACCCCATCAGTTCCAGTCACCTTCAAATCTATTTGAGTTGAGGACCATAGTATGTATATATATATATATATTTTATTTCACACCTCCCTCCTCAACCCTCAATTACAAACATCCTCATTAGTTACTGGTCCCAGTAAATTTCACAAATTCACCGCTGGCAATCACGTTAAATAAGAAACATTTGAAAATAAAACAAAAAGTCGCATTGACTGCATCACCATTCAGTAAGCGGCCACCTTAAAGCTCTTTTATTTCTAGTTCATGAAGTAAGTTCAACAGTCAACACCCACTGTACAACTTCCATTAAATTGTCATTCACCATTCATAACCACGGTCACGTGCCGTTAACTCCTCCGTCAAAACACATGACGCCGTTGCTTCCCACTTCACTATAACCTCGAACTGTCCCACTACGCCCAAAAACAATAGATTTCTTTCTTTTTTCTTTCTTTTTTCTTTCTTTCTTTCTTTGTTAGGGAGGCATCAAGGTATAATAGGACACAAATATTGAGACTGTGGAGCTAAAGAAATGAAGCCCTTTTTCAGATTCTTGATTCTCCTGGCGGTGGTTGTTCTTGTGGAATCTTCATGCAACGGTGGAGACAGGGACCTGGTGTCAAAGGCCTTTCAATCTGTCTCTGGATTCAACGATTCCTGGTTCCAAACAGAAGGTTCCAACTGTTCAGAGGCTCAGATTAAATGGATAGATCTTCCGTCAAAAAACATGAGCGGGAGCATCTCATGGAGGCACCTGAAGAACATGTCCAAGTTAGAGGTTCTCGATCTGTCTGGGAATTCTCTGCAAGGCCAGGTCCCAAACTGGTTTTGGACAAGCTCAAGCTTATTGGTAGTGAATCTGTCCAAGAACAGATTTGGAGGGAGCATTGCGTTGAAACCCACTTCACAAAATGGTTCCTTTTCATCACTGCAAACGCTCAATCTATCCCACAACAGGTTCACCAATCAGGTTCAGCTCTCTGGTTTCTCAAACATGAAAAGCCTCGACCTTTCACACAACAGTCTAGGCACTTTGCCTTCTGGGTTCGAAAAACTCACCAACCTACACCACCTTGATCTCTCTAGCTGCAACATCAAAGGAAACGTAAAACCCATTTCTACCCTTGTGTCACTTTCCTACTTGGACTTGTCAAACAACACTTTGAATGGTAGTTTCCCTTCTGATTTCCCTTCTCTTAACGCCATCAAATTCTTGAACATCTCCCACAACAACTTCAAAGCATCGGTTGCCTTAGACAGGTTCAAGAAATTTGGCAAATCAGCATTCGTTCATGCCGGTAACAACTTCAACTACGATGCATTCAAAACCCCAAACCTTCATTCAACCCCGACACATAAACCCCACATGGGAAAACAACAAACCGTTCACACCGAGAAGAAGAGACCGAAACGTAAGTCAAAACCCAAAAACAAAACAATTATTGCGGCAGTGTGCTCTGCGTCAGCCCTAGTACTTGTCGTGTTGTGCACATGTGCATTCTGCGGTTACAGAAAGAAGAGAAGATTGGCGAAAAGGAACAAATGGGCAATCTCGAAACCGGTTCCATTGACCATCAAGCTGGAGAAATCAGGACCGTTCGCGTTTGAGACCGAGTCAGGGACATCATGGGTGGCTGACCTAAAGGAACCATCTTCTGCACCCGTGGTCATGTTCGAGAAGCCATTGATGAACCTCACCTTCATGGACCTCATCGCCGCCACGTCACACTTTGGCAAGGACTCCCAACTCGCAGAGGGAAGGTGTGGTCCCGTTTATCGTGCGGTCTTACCAGGAGATATCCACGTGGCAATCAAGGTCCTCGAAAACGCCAGAGACGTTGATCATGATGACGCGGTTGCCACCTTCGTTGACCTCTCCAAGCTCAAGCATCCCAATCTGTTGCCCCTCTCCGGTTACTGCATTGCAGGTATACTAAATTGGAGGGATTTTTTTTTTCATTTAAATTTTTTTCAAATGGTTTCAAAATTCTGATTTTTGCGTACCAGTGTCCTTTGATTTAACCTACCCTCATTAAATGGCTTTCACGGGTTTTAATTTTAATTTTAATTTTTTTTTTTGTAAGTCGTACAAAGTAGACCTATTGCGGAACCATTTTCACCTAAATCTAGCACTAGCTATGGTTACGTGTGGAAAGTCATGCGTGTACTTTCCCGTCTTCAATTTTTGACAGGGCATAAATTGCAAAAATTAAATATGAAAACAGTCTACTCACATGTTATTTTAATGTATAAATTAAGGGAAATATTATTCTTATGCAACATAAGATAACATCTTTTTCCTACACACCCATTGATTTCCGTGTAGTTTAATTTGTAATTTTTTATTTTTTATAAGTGAGTGGACCCCACCTATAATTGTGTCTATGGTAGGAGATAACACTCTCCTACAACATGAGATTACTAAATCCCATAAATTAATTGATTCAGCAAGGTTATGTTTCAACTTAGGGAAATCATTGTTTTATTTTATATGAGATAACACATAAAAAGTTGTGACATCGTTTTTTTCTTTTTTCTTTTTTTAATGGATGGTGTACTCCACCATATTATGTATCTATAGTAGTTATCTCCTACAACATGAGAAAAATAGAACTCTTCAACTTACGTAGAAATCAAAAATAGTAAATACCTTTTTGGTGGCTAACAAAAAAAACAGGGTTTTCATTTTAGTTCCTTACAAAAATAAATTAGTCAGTTAGTCCCTAACAAATTCAAAGTGAACCCATTTAGTTGAAATCGTGGTCCCTTACAAATTCAAAAAAGACCTATATTAGTCTCTCAAAAGAACTAAAATCCTCAAAAAGATTAAAATGATCCACTCTGAATTTGTTGACTAATTTATTTTTGTAAAGGACTAAAGTTGGGACCGTATTTATTTGTTAGTTTTTTTGTTAGGGACCAAAGGGTATTTATTCATAAAAAAATATATGCCACTAGATTTGGTCAGTTATCGGAAATTAAGAAAATTTTGTATTAAATTATGTGTTTAATTTTTTACTTATATAAAAAGACATTACTACTTGAATTTATAACACTTGGATATTATTGGTTAGTGTTAAAATGCTCCTGTAACATTTTTAATTTATTAATTTGGTGAAATACTAGTTGAACTTTTTTCTTTTTTTTTTTTTTTGAAATTTCAGGTAAGGAGAAGTTGGTATTCTACGAATTTATGCCAAACGGGGATTTGGGTAGGTGGCTACATGAGCTACCAACGGGGGAGACTAACGTGGAGGATTGGAGTGGTGACACGTGGGAGATTCAAAATGGCGTCGTTTCGCGAGCCTCATCCCCGGAAAAGATGGGTTGGCCAACACGACACCGTATTGCCGTTGGTGTAGCGCGTGGGCTAGCTTTCCTCCACCACGCGGGGTCGAGGCCCGTCGTGCACGGCCATCTGGTGACGTCAAACGTTCTCCTCGCCGAAGACTTCGAGCCCCGGATCGCCGATTTCGGGTTCCGGAAGATCGGGCAGATAGCCGCCCCGAATTGCACCACCGAGACGGACGTGTACTGCTTCGGGGTGGTTCTGATGGAGCTGCTCACGGGAAGATCCGGCACGGCGGAGACGGTGGTTTGGGTGAGGAAGCTGGTGAGGGAGGGTCACGGTGTGCGGACGCTGGACGAGAGGCTCAAACTCGGTGGCGGCGACTCGGTGAGTCAGATGGTGGAGAGCCTCCGAGTCGCGTACTTGTGTACGGCCGAGTCACCGGCGAAGAGGCCCACAATGCAGCAGGTGTTGGGTCTTCTCAAAGACATTCATCCCAGTCGCGGACTCGACTGAGTTCACTCGTCAACACGAATCGTTCTTTTGTTTATCTTTTTATTTATTTTTTGGAGATTTTCGAGGCCGACGCGTTTTACAAGTGTTTGAGGCTTAACCTCGATGAGTAATTCCTCGTTGCATTGGAGGTGGCAATGGAGTTTTGGAACTTTTTTAAAAAAAGAAAAAAATTATGATGATTATGATTACGATGTATATATTAAAAAGCTTAGGGAAAAAGAAAAGGTGAAAAAGGTAGACAAAATGAAGTGGGGTGGGAGGCTAGTGAAGGCTGAGTGAGATGGGGCTATCAATGAATGTGATGAGTGTTGTGTAGTATTCTTTTTTCTATTTTTTGGTGAGCATGCATAGGACAGAGAATTCCACTTATTACCTGTCTCTCTTCTAAGAGGGGCTTTCATCATTTTTTTATCTTTACCATTCACTTTTGTTTATTATTATTATTATTTTTTTATTATTTCCTTTTACTTTATTCTCTTGTTTAATTATTTCTCTTTAACAAAGAATAGAATATTCCTCCCCAAAGAAAACAAAGGGAGAGGTAGATGAGATAGATACACCTAGCTTTGCCATTTGCATGTCCATTTGCTGCAGGTCACGTGCTTATCTTATTAAAACAAAGGCACCATGTGCCGTGTGCGCGAGCATCATGGGTGGCTCTTTTGAGTCGGTTTTTCTCGTTGGTCATTAGGTAAATCTAATATAGATTTGTCAACATTGTACGCTAATTTCTCTAAGTGGGGCATTATTAAGAGGTCAAATTTTAATTGACTTTGATGGAATATCTCAGTTAAGGGGATCATTCATACATTATTGTGAGCATGAGAAAAGAATAGTTCGTCCACCGACGTGGAAATTAAAATTCCATGAAAATGAATTTCAAAATTCAATATTGTAATCATTACAGGTGTTTGCATTTGTATTCTGGTGATATTTTTAGCAGTCGATTGTTGAACTTGCGCACAGCTAGCTCTAGTTGTATATGGTATTTTATGTCAGAACTATTTTTGACTTTGTGACAATGAAACGGTGTATATATAATTATGGGTAATATTACTCTCATGTAACATGAGAATAGTTCTCTCATGTTACAGAGAGAATTCAAGTAGGGCCCGTTATATAAAAGCAAAAAAGAAAAAGAAAAAAAAAAGAGTACGATTTTCGAAATGAGAAAAAAGAAAATAACTACCTCATGTAAAATGAGAGTAGTATTTTCCTATAATTATATGTGCATGGACTCTTGCGCCATTGAGTACTATTAACCTAGAACTAGGGAATTTGTGCACCATGTAAGTTTCGTATATATAATTGCCCCTTTTCCCCCTCAAAATGCTTCCCGTTATTCTACAATGATTTGAATTCCAAATCCAAATTCGAGGGGTACAAGTACAACACGCTATGACTTTGATTAATGAATAATTAAGATGTGAAATGTATTATTAATTTTTCTTCTTCCCTGATGTGACGTGCATAAATACTACTATAAGAATTCGTATTTGCATGATAAAATATTTAGGAATATTTTGCACGTCATTGTCCACTTTACTTACAGCTTCTTCTAAGTTGGCCAGCCAGGCTAGATTTCCGTGTCCAGTGTCCACCTCTGGACCAAATGTTCGATGATAATTCTTCGAATGTTTTTATAAAATTCAAATATTTAAAAGATAACGTGACAAAGCAGAGGTGAAAGGAGGGAGGAAAATAGATATATTCCTATAAAATAAAATAAATTTTATGGACTTCCTTTAATTGTTAAAAAGTTTTGTTTGAATAATATAATTTTTATTATAATTATTCAATATTTATCTATACAAATAAGAGGAAACAAAAATTAAATAATACAAGAATCGTGAAAAAAATACCGTGTGGTACTCCTCTGCCTTTTCGTGCTTTCTGAAAGCACTTTGTTTTTCTTAGCTTTGTATTCTCTTTATTTTTCTTTCCCAAGGCTGAGTGAGAAAGTGAAATTCTAGAAATCTTTTTTCTTTTACCGTCAAATTCTTTGTTATATACATATTTACGCTGTTCCTTGCAATTATGACAGCCTATTTTCTCAAATAACAGAATCAAGAAAATACATATAATTTTACATACCAATTTATTACAAAAAAAAAAAAAAATCCTTAAAAAGATAATTCTTCCCATAATTTAATATCACCACTCCATGACCAGCTCGATTACAAGTACTAGTCAAAAACAAATTTTCACTGAAGAAACGTAAATTTGGGCATGCAGTACATTTAAATTTCTTATAAGACACCCATATCTGATGCATTAAAGTGGAATGGTTCAGTTTTAGAGCTCTTTTGCCTTTTGCTTTATACATGTTTCCAAATATGCTACAAATCTGAGTCATTGTTGTCGCTATACTATTTTTCTGAAAGTTTTTTCATGGGACAGGGTTGGTTTTTGACCCTTAGCAGTTGAAAAACTAAGCAACTGATTTCGCCTAATTAATTAAAGTTGGTTGCAGAGATAAGATCATAAGATTTAGTTTGATTCCATCCTTGTCAGTGGGAGGTAAGTGTCCTCTCTATCTTTAAGTTGGAAGCGGACACTAGCGTGCTTCTGTGTACGAAGGTTGTTCACTAACACAAATATTGGTTCCTTATAGCCATATGTGGCAGAATTAAACGCATCAGTAGTAAGAAATTGTACCTATTCATTAAATTAAGGAAACCGACGTGATGTAATGTTACCAATTCCAAATTATTAAAAAAAATAAAACTATGATAAGTTAGAGATCTATAACACAATCAAGTTTCTACTGATTCCGTCAATAAGACTCTTGTAAGTATGTGAAATATGAGTCATATTCAAGATTTAATTGAGCATACCAAAAATCTAATTGAGCAATAGTATAAATTTTAGTGTAAATATGGTTTCCATAATAGGTGAATTTTGTGGTTAGGGATTTTTGAAATTTAGCATAGGATTTTTTAAATATGTGTCATTTGCGTTCTCATCGCAAAAACTACAAAAATGCAATAGAGAAAAAGACCTTAGCATCAAATTTTTTCCCTCTAGTTCTTCAAATAAGATAGGCATAATTACATTTTTTATTCTATTTTTTTGAATATTTTATAATTATATACATGATTTAAAAATTTAGATTTATCATCATTATGTCTTTTCATAGGTTTCTAATTATATTAATTTCCCCTTATGTCCTTTCTTCTAACTCAGACCAAGATCGATAGCTCAAAATAAATATTAGAGTAAATATCTTTTTTCGTCCTCAACAAATTTCACGATGCCCACTTTAGTCTCTAGCAAATAAAAAGTGATACACAAGCTAATCAAGCGGTGGAAAAGGAAGTTGAAACTGCTATAGCAACACAGGTAACTGCTACAGCAACTAAAGAAAATAAACAACAGAACCAAGCATAGCTGAAAGGGAAAGAAGGAAGCCACGTAGATTTAGAGATGACTTGTATTAGATGATGACGTGTAATTAGGAACAGTAATAAAGCATGTGAATGTTAGTAGAGTCGGTGGTTACATAGGAAATAAAAGGAAAAGTGGAACTACACAAGGGGCATGTATTCAGTTAGTCTTGAAATAAAGAAATTATTCTCTCCCCTTTTCTCTCTCAGTTGCATCTCTATTCTACCAATTTGGTGCTTTCATCATTGAACCATGCCACCTGAAACTCGCTCTCGTTCCCTTGATGATCGATTGGACACCACACAGGCTGAGGTAGAAGTGTTAAAAGAACAGATGACCAAACGCTTCCAAGAACTGACTTGTAAATTGGATGCTATTTTTGACAACTATAGGGAGCGACAACCATCTCCTAGTGGGTCGTCCCACCAACCGTCCTCAATGCCGAAAGATCATGTCACTGCAAAAAATTTGCGCCTCAAAGTCTCACGTTATGATGGATCCAGCGATCCACAAGGTTGGATTTTCAAAATTAATCAATTTTTCGAATTCTATGATATAGATGATGCACAAAGATTGAAGATTGCTCCATTTTATTTTGAGGGAAAGGCATTGGCCTGGTATCAGTGGCTGAATAAAAATTCCTAAATTGATTCATGGCCACAATTTTTCACTGCTTTGCAAGTGCGATTTGGTCCTTCTGACATGGAAGATTATCAAGGTAAGCTATCCAAGTTGATGCAAAAAGGGACGGTACTGGAATACCAAGAAGCCTTTGAACAACTCTCTAACCAGGTAGATGGACTCTCCGAATCGTTTCTTGTGAGTTGTTTTATCTCAGGGCTAAAGCCAGAAATTAAACATGATGTTTCTGCCTTCCGTCCTTCTTCTCTGACACATGCAATATTCTTAGCCAAAATTGAGGAATCCAAGTTATAGCTTAAAAATAACCCACCAAAACTACACTCACCTTACCCTCAATTATTGCCCACACCCCAATTGCGAAATACTCAGAATACAAACCCTCCTAAGACCATTGTTACAAACCCCAATACCAATCACGTCAAACCTATTACCCAACGATTTACTCAAAGTCCAATTCACAAACGTAGGGAGAAGAATTTGTGTTTTACTTGTGGTGACAAGTATTTTTCTGGGCATAAGTGCAAAGCGTCAGTTCATATTTTGATAGTGCTTGATGAAGATAGTTTAGAAGAAGGAATATTGGCTGAAGATAACGAACCAGCAGCAAATTCTGAACAAGATCTCAATGGTATGGAAGTGTCCACGCCCCAAATTAGCTTTCATGCTTTGGCTGGTGTGGTGGTACCTCAGACACTCAGATTCAGAAGCTACTTTGGCAAGTCCGAATTCTCATTGCTAGTGGATGGGGGAAGCACACATAACTTCCTTCAACCAAAGGTTGTCTCTCACCTTGACTTGCCAATTATCACTGACAAGAGGTTTGAAGTAATGGTGGGGAATGGACAAATCTTGCAATGCGAATGATTTTGTCCAGCAGTACCAGTTAAGATTCAACAACATATTTTTTTGGTGGATTTCTATATTTTACCAATCCAAGGGGCTGATATGGTTCTTGGAGTTCAATGGTTGCAAGGGTTGGGACCAGTCACACTGGATTATAACAAGTTGACTATGGAATTTCTTTGCAACAGTGGAGCTATAAAGCTACAGGGGGAGTTTTATGCCCAGTTTAGGCGCCTTCAACAGACAGGGCAAGTTGCTTCATTATTCCAATTGAAAATGTCGGATTCCTCTATTGACTCAACTCCCACAGAAGTCATACCTCAGGTACAACAATTATTAGCATAATTTGATGCATTAATTCAGGCTTAATTCAAGCTTAACTCAACGCCAAATAGATCATCAAATACACCTTGAACCTCATGCCCTTCCCGTAAATGTAAAACCATATAGATACCCACATTTTCAAAAGGGCGAAATCGAAAAACAGGTAACACAAATGCTTAATTCAGGCTTTATTAGGCTTAGCACCAGCCCCTTCTCCTCACCAGTGCTGTTAGTAAAATAAAGGATGGCACTTGGAGGTTTTGCATTGATTATAGAGCACTTAATAGCATTACCATCAAAGATAGGTTTCTCATTCCTACTACTGATGAATTAATGGACGAACTAGGTGGATCCCAAGTATTTTCTAAGTTGGATTTAAAGGCTGGTTATCACGAAATTCGCTTAAAACCTGAGGATATTCATAAAACAACCTTTAGAACTCACCAAGGCCACTATGAATTTGTGGTACTGCCCTTTAGATTGACCAATGCCCCATCCACATTTCAGGCTACATTGAATCTTATTTTATAGCCTTTTTTGCGTAAGTTTGTTGCAGTTTTCTTTGATGACATACTTGTATATAGCTCTTCCTTGGATATCCATATTCAGCACCTGCGACAGGTTCTCCTCATTTTACAACAACATCAGTTTTTTATAAAGAAAAGCAAATGCTCTTTTGCTCAGAAAGAGGTTGAATACCTTGGGCATGTTGTCTCCAATGTGGATGTGAGTATGGACCCTAATAAAGTAAAAGTCATGTTAGATTGGCCTGCTCCCAAGAACATTAAGCAATTGCGTGGTTTCCTTGGCCTTACGGGTTATTATCGCAAATTTGTGCAAGGATATGCTAGCATTGCAGCACCCTTCACTGAGTTACTCAAGAGAGATGCTTTCCAATGGTGTAATGCTGCCCAATCATCTTTTGACAATCTCAAGGTGGCTATGACATCTGCTCCAGTCTTAGCTTTACCTGACTTTGATCAAGATTTCATAATTGAGACTGATGCTTCAAATTTGGGTGTTGGTGCTGTATTACTTCAAGCAGATCATCCTTTGGCATATTTCAGCAAAAAATTATCACTTAGAATGAAAAGGGCTGCACCATATGTCAGGGAGCTTTATGCAGTCACCGAGGCCGTGAAGAAATGGAGACAATACTTGTTAGGTTAGGTTAGACAATACTCATATCACGTGACTTTTTTTCAATCCATTAAAATTCTAATCGAATACTAATTGATTTTTTTGTCCAAAAACAATCTATTAAAATCTTTTGAAATAATGAAAGGTTTTTCTTCTGGGTTTCTGAGTAGTTGACTAAATCGCTGTATGACAATGGTAACCTCATATAACAAACATCACTATTAATGACTAAATCCTCGCCAAGCACACTTGAGAAATATCAAATCAAGAAAGGAATTATAGATATTCCGAATAATAAAATTAGCTCTATAGCCTAAATTGATTTCAGAAACAAAAAAACGCAGCAAAGGACATTGGCAAGCTTCCGAGAAATCTAATCTCGCTAACAAGCTAATCAGACCTTTATCGACAACCAAAAACAAATAAACATTGAATCACAAATTCATAACACAAAACAATATTGCCACCTTGCCATATTTCTTGAGTTCAATGCAAATACACATATTTTTAATCCAGGCCCATGGGCTTTAAATGGAGCTGGGCCTCTTCATTAGAGCTGGGGTTACAATATACTTCATTACTTCATCGTTGTTTCCTCTTCGTTCTTCTTCTTCTTCTTCTGGTTCAGATTTCCACTTTCAAACCCTTCTTCTCGCGTTCCCTCCTATTTCCATTTTCTCCAAATGCCCTCAACAAATTTTCCTCAATCGTAGCTCCGTGATACTTCTCCTTCACCGAATTTCAACCCTTCCAAAAGCTCTAAGTTCTAACCCATCCTTATTTCCTTCCAAAAACCCTAGCTTCCATGGCGTCCAAGAAGAAGCAATCCGAAGGAATCGCCTTATTGTCCATGTACAACGACGATGGAGACGATGAAATGGAGGATGTCGAAGAAGAAGAAGCAGAGATGCACGGGGAGAAGCAGGAAGACGCCGGCGGAGATATGAGATTCTTGGTGGATGATGATTTGGCGGTCACTGACACCGATGGAATGGCGGTGGTTGATTCTGGTAACGAGGGCGCGGATGATGGGTCCACCCCGACGGAGAAGAGTGGGTTTGGGGCTTCGACGCCGCAGGCAAACATGTTGGTTTCGCCGCTGCAGGAGCAACCGTTAGTATCATCAGATTCGAGGATTAGTAGGAGAGGGACGCTTACTATAGTGGACTATGGTCATGACGAAGTAGCAATGTCACCTGAGCCCGAGGTACTCCGTTTTATTGAACCCTTTCTTTCCAGTTCTCATATGCTAGATATTTTTGAAATGTAAATAATGGGTATTAGTTGGTTCTGATTGCAGGAGGGAGAGATTGATGGTAGTGGTCGAGTCATGTTCGGGGACCAGCTTCATGTGACCAATGGTAAGTAGAATTTTTGTTCGCGATTGAGTTGTAATTGCCTGCTAAGCTATTTTTCGTTTCGCTCATTTGTTCGAGTCTCTTGGTTTTAGAGTTTTGTTATGCTGCTTATTCCATGTGGAAGAGTTGGACTAAACAAATTCATTGGTCTACTGTTCTTCTCTGTCACTTAATAAATGAATTTGTTCGGCTGATAATAATGAACGTGACTTTATAGTATAAGCTACTGTGTAATTATGGTTATAACTCTACTCTTATTTATAATAGTTAAATCAATGAAGTTCTGTATGTTATTGATAGGGAGCATTAACAGAATAGGGATTTAGCGAAGTAAAACACCTCCAAAAGCTTGTGTATTAATGCAAATCAGTGCTCAGTACAGTATAGTGAGTATACGAGCGCAGTGTTGAGAAGGAAAATGGGAAGAACAAAAGAAGGAAAACAGAAAGAACAATGAGGAAAGGAAACCCAGAGTAATTGGAGATGAATCTTCCAAAGTCCCAACTAACTTCTGTTTAGCACTATTTAAGGGGTCCCACCCTTGCTGACCTGGCCGCTAACAGATCCCCCAAGTCTGCTGCTGAATATTTTCACCATTTTTAGTGTGGGCTCTATTAACAGCCCAAACAATTATATTTTTATTTCTAGTGTAGATTTGCTTGGGCATGGGCTGGGTCGTATTAAATATATGTTCAATCATGAGAAATGGTTCAGGTTCTTACATATATGTAGTATTATTCTTGCTGGCTCTCATTGATTAGATTAAGGTCTGGGTTATTTTAAATGCATTTTTTTTTTAAAAATGTGCTGTATTCTTTGGTCCTGACTTGGGTCCTTGTAAATGGGCAGAGCATTGGAAGTGCATTGTGATGGTTGTGTTTCACAACTTGTCATGCTTAAAAATGGCAGTGAAAAGACAAATGGGAATAATAGCAGGCTTATATTCAATCTTCTGAAGATGTTATTGCTTTATTTAATTTATTCGATTTCATTACCATTGTTGTAGGTGCATTGTCTTTTCCTCTTACTACCTAAAAGAATAATGTATTCCAGGTGATTTGCTAGATAGAACACCATCAGGAACTGTCCAAGTTTTAACACCTACCAATCAAGTTAACACACCTCAATTTTCTGAGCCATTGAAATATGATGCCATGAACAATGATGCTGTGATTAGATCGGATGATGCAGAAGTTGGAGAAGCAGGTCAAGATGAGCAAAAATCTTCAGATCCATTGGAAACATTTCTCCCTCCACCGCCTAAAGTTAAATGCTCAGAGGAGCTACAAGTATGTTGTGTTAAAATGGTTTTAATAACTTTGAATCTACGTCGTAAAGTAGCACGCAATTACTGAATTAAACTGGTTTGATTTTATCTTTTTCCTTGGATTTTGCATGCTTATTTAATTGTATTTTCCCTTTTTTGGGTTTGAGATTACGAGCATCTTTTTGTATTGATCTAGCATTCCATATTTTTATTACCTTTGAATTCAATCAAATAATTTTTGGCAATTAAAGGGTAGTGCTAAACTGTTTCATCTTGCTAATTTTTCTTTCTTGGTTAGTAGGTTGTGTTACCCAGACATAGTTAGTGCTTTTATATAAGTTACTGCCTCTTGGTCAATATATGAATGTACTTTGCATGTTCGATGACTTGATTCACTAGTCATTATTTTGTCTTAAAAGTTGTAATTTCGACATCAGATTGACTTATGTGGCTGTTGTCTTGGCCTAAACCAAACTATGAGTACTAGAGTAGTAACTGGCTTGTGAAATTCTAAATTCCATTTTATCGTTTGTCTTTACCATTTGAAATAAATCCATACTATTATAGAAAGTGGATCCCCCCTACTTCATCTCTAGTTTACTTTACAAAGAAACCTTTTTTGTACTACAAGTAAAAAGATAGGAGGAAAATGTTATAGCAAAAACCACCTTCCTAGTCACATCCGCACTTACTTTTAAGGCATTTATTTTAGAACTTTATATACTGCAGTTTAAGGTTTTAAATTTTCAAATTTAAAAAGAAAGTGCAACATCATGTCTCAAATAAAATGGATTTCCTTTCCAATTTAACAAAAAGGAAGGAAAAAATAAACCAAGACTTATACCCCACCTTTCAGTGTAATTCAATAATCAAGAAAAGTTGTATGTTCTTGGTAGTGGGTAGGATGTTTCTGATTTCTAGCTTTATCTTTGGTGGTTTGTAGCTTTTAGACAGTGCAAGTTTTTGTTTTCCCTTAACATTATTTCCTTTAATATTATGTTATTGCAGCGGAAAATAAATAAATTCCTAGAGTATAAGAAGGCTGGAAAAAGCTTTAATGCAGAAGTTCGCAACAGGAAGGACTATCGAAACCCTGACTTCTTACTGCATGCAGTGAGGTATCAGGATATTGATCAGATAGGGTCTTGCTTCAGTAAAGATGTATTTGATCCTCATGGATATGATTCAAGTGACTTCTATGATGAAATAGGTCCTTAACTGCTTCTTGTCTCTATCTTTCTTGTTGTTGTTCCTTGTATTTTTGTGTTTTGCTCCTGTTTTTACCTGTTTTATTGAATTTATCATACATACACTATAGTGTGATACGAACCTTGGGAGAACCTCACCCCAAAAGCTAGTTCATGAGATAGGAGAATCCAAAGTCCATTATAAACCTCACACCAGAACCTTATGTTTCCGATGTGGGACTCCAAGTCCCATACCTTGGAGTAGGATCCTAACATAGTGTCTATACATGGTTTTCTAAATTTATTTGTAACTGGGAGTTAGATCATTGTTGGCTGTTTATTCCATTAAGCTGACAGTTGATTTAAAGTATTTAATGTTGCAGACCTCCTATCTTTTTTATTCTGATGTTCAAATCATTTTTACTTTTGTTTTTCCCATTCTGAAGATAACTTTGAGGTTATCATTTAGGCTGCATGGATAACTTATTAGAACTTTTGTTAGCTTAGTTATGGTAAGCTTGGTGAAGTATAATTGATTAGACTAAGTTTTTTTTATATCTGTTAATTTAAAGGAACCATTACTTCATTGGTGCACCGTCTTAACGAAGCCTCTGATTTTGTTCCTCCCCAACCCCAAAAAAATGCGCACACAGTCACTTTTGTCAAATTTTATTGGTCTTGACTTGGCAAAGTGAATACTTGCAAATTTGAACTTATATTCCTGGTATGTCAAGATTTTGGTATCATAACTGGCATCCATATATTGATTAGCTGTTTGTAGTACTTTTCCTATCTCAAAACTATTTTAGTATTACCCAATGTTAGTGATGTTGCAGCTGTTTTTTTTTTTTTTTTTTTCCAATTATTTACCCTTTTTGGCTTATGTCGCTAATTTTAAAACAAAACAGAAGCTGACATGAGGCGCGAAAGTGATAGGAAAGAGCAAGAGAAGAAGAAAGCACAAAAGGTTGAATTTACTCCTGGGGGTACACAACCAGGAATTGTAGCTGCTCCTCCTAGGATCAGCATGCCTGTTGCAGGTTCAGAAACCACCTAGTTCATTTGTGCAGTGGTGAAGCTTTTCCTTAGAAATTATTTTTCATGTGTGTCTGCTCTATTCTTATATATATTGACCTTTTGCCGTAGGTGGTTCTGCTGTGGCTGCAACTGGTTTGCATTTGGTGCCTCCTACAGCTGATTCTACTAGTAGGGATGGTAGACAGAACAAAAAATCAAAATGGGATAAGGTATTCATCTAAACCAAGCAATTGCAACTTCAGTGACATTCTTCATCGAGCTTACAAAATTCTAGTGAATTTTAGGTGGATGGTGATCGGAAAAATTCTCTGCCCTCTGTGGGGCAGGATTCTGTATCCAGTGTTGGGGCTCATGCAGCAATTTTATCTGCTGCTAATGCTGGTGGTGGATACATGCTATTTGCGTAAGTTGATAAACAACCTTGAACTTCCCTATTCATTCTATTTCTATATATTGAGTCTGGTTGTGCTTTCAACTTCTGAGATTTGATTTCGATTCAGCATTTTTTTTTAATTATATAGACATTTTGAGGTATGTTTTGCATGTTATCAATTTGCTACTAAAAGAAAACCAGAATCTAAAATTTACATATACCTTGCAAGATTTCCGGATATAAATGTTGGTTTTGGATATTCATATCTATACATTTCATTATTGTTTTTCTGCTCTAGCAGTTTCTTAATTGTGTTGGAGCACTTGTGTGATTGACTGTGGATGGTTAAATAGTTAATTTTGTTGTCCTATTACTACTAATTGCTGTATCATCTACTAAGATCATTTAAGTGGCAGCTTGTAGGTTTGACGTAAGGCAACCAAGTTAGTAATTCTTGTGTCAGTCACCAATAAGTAGTTAGGTGAAGGTTCATGAAGAGTTTTATATTTAACATTGTAATTGCAATAATTCTTAATGCGCATTGGATAAATTAAATAATTGTTGTTTTCTGTACTACTAAATTCTGTTTTCTATGAAGAAATTAGTTCATAATATACAAAGCCTGTCTACTTTAATTTGTCCTGTGTTTATGATCATGTTACGTCATGAAATTGATTGTGAAAAATTACTGGAATATACGGTTCAAACAATTGGTAATTAGCTGATATGTTTGATACAATGAACCTCTCTTCTGTTGTTGAACAGGCAACAAAAACGGCGAGAGGCAGAGGAGAAAAGATCTAGTGAAAGGAGGTTGGAGAGACGATCGTGAGCCGTCCATTTTGGTCTAGTAACGAACACCGTTTATAAGCGGTAGTTGAGATTTTTTCTGTATTACAGTTTTGTTCTGTTCATTATTAACTTTGGTACTTATTATAGAAACTGTAAATTCTCAAAAAAGAAAAGAAATTCGAGCTACAACTGTGCCTTAATGCTTTATCCCTATGAGACAGCCTGAGTAATTCTTCTTTATTCCCCTGCAATAGCTGTACCGTGATCTTGCGGGTTGGTTGATTGGGGTTCGTTCTGTTAATAATCTGTCTTTATTTTTTATTTGATTAGTGCTTGCATATTTTATCAGTTTGTTAATTCTATATTTCTATTATTGTCATTATTTCCAGTGGCTTTTGGTAGCGATGCACTTTGCACTAGACGTGTACGGATCTTTATATAAAGAGATATAGTTTTACATTACTCGCATCCATGCAAGCATATGGATCTATGTATGATTAGTGCATGCGTCTTTACCTCTATGTACGTATTTGCGTTCAGATATGGGGGTAAAAAAGGAGCAAAAGTTTATGTGGTGCGGGATCAGAAATCATATGGTGGGACTGGTGAGAGAAAGGAAGAAAAGGTTGAGGAGAGAAGAGAGAGAGAAAAAAAAAATTAATCTAGGTGTCGATATTTTAATGGAAGGATCATGGTGGTCCTGGATCACAATTAAAAATTCCGTAAAAAAAGTTCGATACGAAACAATTAACTTAATTTGGACAAGTGGATCGATGTGTCAGATCGAATGGCATGGTTGTTTCAATTTATTTGTTCATTTCTATAAGGTCCATTAAATATAATGGAAATGTTTATGGAAGGGCATCTCTGTTTGCACGAATTAATTAGAAGATAATACGTTGATATCACAGAGTTACTTATGGACTTGAGATTTATTTTTTCATCTAATACAAATTTTGGGAAAATTTCACATTAAAAACTAGTTCAAGTGGTAGGAGAGCTCAAAAATTCATATAAATTTCACATTAGTCACCCATGTAACTGCAATTGAATTGTAACATTTCATTATATTTTGTTACTGTTTTAGCCCTAGCGTTCACTTGGGCTAGCTTTATGCTAGTCTTTTTACTAGTTCTGGCCAAACACTGCAATGCCAACGTCATTAGCTGTGTTGCTCGATTGTAGGTGGGAGACATAGTGAAAGTCTCTAATATCAATTGATACGAAACTTAAAAGAACCTTATCTCAAAAGTTAACCCAAGAGGTAAGAGAATTCAAAGTCCATATAAACTTTACATTTGTCACTCATACCTTACAATTGGATCGTAACATTGTCACACCATTCCATGACACTACAATGAATAGTTTAGCCAAGAATGTATAGTTAGGTATTAATACCCAATGCAGTTTATTTATGTCATCATGTTAAACAGAACCTGATGTTAATTATTAAGCTTAGCACGGGATTAACGGGCTTGTAGTGTTTTAACCTGGTCGGACTATTGGCTTGGAGCAAATCTTGAAAGCCGGGACAATTGAAGGCTAAAATGGCATTGATAACTAACTCTTCATGCCCTTTTTTTTTTTCTTCAGGACTTGTGTTTAGCATCAATAGTATTGTATAACGAGGCTATGTGCATAATGATGCTTACACAACACATACCAGGAAAAGAAAAACGAATAAAGATAATATCTGTATGTCATGTGAATGTGTGCTTCGTAAGCATCCAATCAGGCAATCAACAATGCTAGTCGTACTCTATTTTGAACATCTATCGTGCTGTTTATTTTTATTTTTCATTTGGAAAGCTAGAAAAAATTAATGGCATAGCCGCATAGGTCCTATTCAATTTCAACAAAAATTATAACAGTAGAGCTCCGCTGGAGTCAATGGTTGCAGTAATTCGGCATGAATGTATGGCAAATAAATAGGAAAAGGCATTTTACACAAAACGAGGATTAGCAAAACGAAAAGGCATAATAGGTCCCGGTTTGGTAGGATACCATACGGTGGGATTGTAGAAAATCGATTTATGTGGAGTGTAGCAGAGTTGAAAAAGTGGCACTGGGTTTCTGCTGTCCAGCTACTAATGCTATTGTCCTTTGATAAAGCTGAAGTCGGAAACCGTGCACATATTTGTCTGAACTCCTTTGCTATATCATGTTAATAAAAATAGAAAAATAAATAAAATATAATTATTATGCTTATGATACCGTAGTAGCCTAGGTGCCGAACAGTGAACAAATGTCACGTTTTGTTAAATTTTTTATTCAAATGTCACCTAATTAATATTTTTTATCAAACCGTCACGTGTCATAATTCGCTAACGATAACAAATTTTGTGACCAATAATTTCGTGACACATGGCCATATTGCAGACCAAATTCGCTACCAGTGATAGCAAAATATGACACGTCAGTTTTTTCATGCGAAAGTATGTCACGTGTCAAAAAATCATTCGCGAACATAATTTGCTACACATTGTAGCGAATTACTACCTGCTTGACACGTGTCATTATTGCTGACTGTGCATTCTGACGTGGCATAATTCGCTACACTGTGTAGCGAATTATTTGCAAGCATATTTCGCTACACAGTGTAGCGAATTATCCCACGTGGCATTCTGAAAAAATTTACTGTTGACGTGGCAGTGTGATAATTTTTTTGACCTGGCGTAGCAAAATGATCACTGTTCCAGTAGGTGCAATCTACACGTCTCATTCCCAAATAAAACTCTCCTAATTTTAAGTGGGCATTTAGTATTGGAGAAATTTTTTAGTAACCGAGAATCACGATTATTGAAAATATGATAGGTATAAAAAGTATCCGAGAATGTTACGAAAATGATGTTTGGTAGGCAAAAATATTACCGAAAATATTGATTAAATTTTTGAAAGACTGTTTGGTTGATGACAAAATATTGCTAGGAATATGATGAAATTTTACGAAACTACCCTCATAAAACATAACTTTAAACACGGTTTAGATAAAAAAAAAAAAATATAAACAACAGGCCAAGAACGACCGTTTTCATTGCCAAGAAGTGAGAATTCTGAATTACCCCGTAGAACGTGGTATTTAGAATTAGTTATTGCTAGTGTAATATGAAATCCAGGTAACAAATTATTCCCAGCCAAATTTTCTGTTTTTCTTGTACCAACTGTGGAGATAAAAAATTCCCACATCCACTTTCTGGACATCTTAAATATGACCATGTACTAAACATCCCCTAAAAAGAACTGTTATACCACAAATGCAGTACAACAAATGCAATAAACCCGCGACATTTATACTTACGAAAATTATTTGTGATTTAAAATATTTCTACAGTTACTGTAAGGTTATATGTATTTACTCTCAAAACAATATCTTTTTGGAATTGAAAGATTAAAAAATTATAATTATAAAGACTATAATAACTCTAAAATAAATTAAAATTACAAAAATACCATGATTTTCGCCCTAAAACGACGTCGTATTGGGCTTACTATAGATAACTTATATGCAGTGACTGTAGAAAAAATGAACCTTTTAAAAGAATGTAAATTGTGTTCTTTAAATTTTTTTATTTTATGTATTTCCGGTAATATATAGTTATAATATGAAAAATTACTTTTTTCTCTCACCTCATTCACATCAGTTGACGTGAAAAATGAAAAAAAATAAATTTTTATATTATATCTATATATTACCGGGAGTACATAGAGTAAGAAACTTAAAGAATACAATTTACATCCTTTAAAAGTACATGCACTAAACCCTTATACTTATATTGAAATAATTCTTTTTTTGTTATCTTTTTTTAAGGTTTTCTAAATAATTTAGATTTTTTTCTTAATTAAAAATGAAAAATGAAAAGGAAATTTTAATTTTAAATCAATTAAAATTTTACCATTTGCATAACATTCGTATATTTAAGAACTCTTCTCACGTTTTAAAATATATTGCAGTTTTAAAATTAGCTATTTTAGAATGATTTATTTGTTACATGGTATTTAAGTTTCTTTAATATACATGACCATATGAAGTTTGATTCTCATAAAGAAGATTTTTAATAATTTAATTATCATAAATTTTATGAGATAAAGTGAATATGTATCTACACCTAAGGGCATGTTTGGTGCATAGTATAGGATAAGACCTGATAGTATAAGACCTGATTGTATAAGACCTGATTGAATTTTAATACTATCAAACGTTTAGCACGGTATTGTATAAAATAATATATTATATAAGATAATACCATATAGTATTTGGTAATGCACTGTATAATACTATATATGATAAAAATAAATATTTTTAATAAAAATATCCTTTAATAAAGAATTTATATAATTCTTCAAAAAATGTCATATGATATTAATTTTTATAAAAATTTATTGATAAGTGTGTCCAAAATAAAATTAATTTTTATAAAAATAAAAAAATTCAATATTTTAAAAATTAATATATTGAAAAATAAATTTTTATTTTAATAGATTAATATTAAAATAATATATTAATTTTGAGAATTACATTGGTCAACGATGTTAATACATCAATCTCTTATCAGGTCTTATCCCCCACCCTTAGGCCGGATTAAGTTATACATCGTTTTGATGTATTAAGGGATTATGCTGTATAAGCTTATACTATTCAGTGAACACACCAAACAACTGAAAATGTCATAACGTATAGTATAAGTTTATAATATCATACCTTATACGTCACACCAAACAGGCTCTAAACAACTTAAATGATAATTACAAGCTTATATTACTTTTTATCCATTAAAATTAGGCCATATGCAATATTTCATAGATACCTCATTTCATCTAGGAGATTTCATCAGATTCATCTATCAGTTACCAACATGACCTCATTTCATATTTTATTAACCACTAACGGCTTATATTCAGGGTCGTGAGTTGGGGAAGGTGGGACCAACTAGTTCAAAGTTGTCTTTACCTGTTTTTTGTGGGGAACTAAAAGTCAAAATCATCTTTTACTTTACTCTGTCTGTATAACGCATTACCTATTGCACGACCCATGCCAAAGGAACAAAATAATTAGAAACCAAAGCAAAGACCCCATCTCCTATGTTCAATGCGAGATACTATCATGTACCTACATATCAACAACCTTCTATTCTTGGTCTTGAATAACACGTTCCAATCTCTTGCTCTTCATCACTATATCTATCTCGCAACTTTGGCCTCCTTTCTATTTACCCATCAAGGCTTGGTCAGTATCCACATGAAGTCTCCTCAAAATCATCATTCCCTTGCTTTCTTCCTATTTAGGCCCATTAA